TTTTTTTTTCTGTCAGATTCATCTCTTGAGTGATAAACAGTCTACCTGTTTATCTCTTCCTTCTTATTTATTTTATTACTTTATTTATTTTATTTATTTTATTTATTTTAATTAGTTAGTTTGTTCTTTGGGCTCGCCTGCTGTCTCGTGCGCATCTCCTCCTCTGTCACTGTTTGTCTCCTTCTTTGTATCTCCCGTTCTTAGTTGTCTGGTTTTATCTGTTTGTTTGTCTATGTTGTTGTTTTTCTTTGTATTCAGCATTCGCTTCTCTTTCTTTCTGTTTATATATGTTTGTGTTCTTTTGTATGACTCTCTGTTTCTGTTTCTGTTTCTTTTTGTATTTGTGTTTATCTGTCTATTTCTTTACTTTCCTTGTTCTCCATTGTATCGTTTCTGCTGCTTCACCACTATTTTTTTTTGTTTAGTTGTTGCAGGTTTGTGTGTGTTGAGTTGCTTGTATATTGGAGTGTACGTACAGCTGAGTGTTGCTGCGGTGTATGTGCTGCTCAGATACGGCAACTGGTTTCTTCTGTCCCCGGGCTGTTCGTTGTAGGCCAAGGAGATGATGCGTTTTGTCTCGTTTCTCTTCCCGCCAACGAACAGGCGAGGCAGGATTATTAAAGACACAAAAGCAGCTCAAGACAGAGACAGACACTGCCGTGCGACAGAAACAGACACAAACAGAAATACAGAAAAACAAACAAACAGAAATACAACACAAACAGAATACAATTAGATACATCCACCAACACAAACACCTAAGAAATTAGAAAAATAAACAACAATATACAAGTAGACAACACACACACAACACTACAAACACAGACAAACACAGACAAACACAGACAAACACAGACACAGACAAACACAGACAAACAAGCATAAAACACTGAAAGAGAAAACAGAGGAGACACAGACAAGAAGCAACAGAACAATTAGAGAAAGGAAAGAAGAAAAATGCAGAAAATATAACGAGACAGACAGAGAAAGAAACAGTTATTTCTTTAGGCTGAAAAATTACAAAGGGTTTAAGGTGTAGGGTTTAGGGTTTAGGGTTTAGGGTTTAGGATATAGGTAGAGAGAGTGAAGAGAGAAGAAACAAAGACAGAGAAAGACACAGAGCGCTTTGGGTGTATGCATGGCCTGCATATGTGAGGCCTCAGCTGCTCGCTGTGAAAGAGAAAGAAGAAAAAGAGAAAACAAGAAAAGATTGAAATGAAGGAGAAAATACAAAATGAAGAGGAGAACAGGGGGGAGAGAGAAAACA